CATTTTAGATATAAAAGATACAATTACATATAAAAAATGTACATCAAAACATTTATGTTCTGTCCAATCCTTTTGACTTACTATCTAACCCAGATGTTCTCAAAATGTGAAGCTTACATTAGTAGTAGCAGCAAATGCCCTGTCTCAGACCTCCTCTATCAGAAACTCCAGGTTTGTAGGTAGACTGTATTTTAACAAGCTCTACAGGTGGAACCTGATGCCAATGAACACCTGAGAGCCACTGACCTAGCCTATATACCTGCGTGTGCTGGCAGTGTCTTCATTGTGTTGTTAATGTGGGTCCTTTTCTAACATTGTCTTGGTTGTTTTATTATACAATGGAAGAGCTACTGGTTAACTTGTGGTTCAACTTACATGTCACAAGAACATTGGACTTATTGAAATATGAAAGGATGATGCTCTTATTCTGGGTTTGGGCTGAATATTTGAGTACTTTTGGCCAAGTGATACACTGTGTTCATAATTTTTAAAAGAATAGCTTGCTTTAAATAGCTGAAATACCTTCTACTACCAAATCCCATGATTCCATTGTGCTTTCCAAAATTTAGCTACTGAGTTTAAAAAATAGCACTAATTTGGGTTCATGAAGGCAGTGTAATATTTCCTTGAATTTCAGTTTATTTTTAATAAAATGGCTGTTTGCTTCTGATACAGTTGAGAATACCCTATCCAATTGCTGGATTTATTTCTTTTTAATTCACACAGTTAAACTTAATATGGTTATTGACATAATTGAGAGATTTTTCATTTAATATTTCTCTGCTACTGGCCATCACTTTCTGTTTCCCTATCATTTTATTATGCTTAATTTAATGGTATTTAAATCCCTGTAGCATTTGGCAGCCTCTCAATTTCTCTCTAAATGATAGGAAATCAGAGAAGAAAAAGCATCAATATTTCAGTAACAAGCAAAAATCATCTCTTTGCTTTTTAACCAACTTTGATTTAAAATTCTATTACATAGTCTTTTTAAAAAAAGATTTTGTGGTGATGGTTCTACTTACATACAAAGTGAATAGGAAGTCAGTAAAGTTAAAGACTGATTCTAGACCACATTGCTGTTTCACATTCACTTCTTATTCCATCATGCTAAAATCAGATCACCACATGTATGTCCAGCAAAATTTACAGGGTGAAGAAAACAAATGGAATTTAGAGACAAGTGCTTTATCTGATTCCTTATCTCCCACAGGGGCATTTCTTAAATCTGTATTTTCTTTTTATCTCTACCAGATAGGGTATTTTATATAATAAAAATTTAGAATTAGTAGACATATAAATTTGGGTCCCAAAAGTGTGTATATTTAAAAACAAACACATAGGTAGTTTTTTGGTGTACAAAAATCAGAAAAAAATCAGTGTTCTCAAAATACATTATAACATCTTTTGTGAAAAATGTAAATAACTAGTTTCTTTTCTCTTTTTCTTTTTTCTTTTTTTTTTTTGGTACCAGGGATTGAACTCAGGGGTGCTTAACCACTACCACTGATCTAGATTCCCAGCCCTATTTTATATTTTATTTGAGACAGGGTCTCACTAAGTTACTTAGGGTCCTATCAAGTTGCTGAGGCTGGCTTTGAACTCAAGATCTTCCTGCCTTAGCCTCCTGAACTGCTGGAATTACAGGGGTGTGTCACCACGCCTGGCACTTCTTTATTATGGGAAAGGTAGATTGTTATTTCTAACTTGGGATTATTAAGTGTGTGCATATCTGTGTGTGTGTGTGTGTGTGTGTGTAAGTTCAGTGAGGGCAGTGATTGGAACATGTATTTTTGTGACTGGTAATTTCAAATAATATATTTTTACAAATGTATAATATACCTTAGAGTTATATTTAAATAGATGTCACTAATAAAATATATTTTCCAACTTGCTGTACCCACATTTGAAAATCTGGTTCTCTTTTCTGGAGGCAAGGTGGTGGCTGCTGGTGGTATTGTCCTTGGCAGAGTCTGAAGATGCAGGGGAATTTGAGAAGCTTGTCAGGCCAAGGTGAGGCAGGTGCAGGGATTGGGAGCATATGGGCAAATAATTAACTGTCTTGAGTCTGTATTGCAAAAATAATTTTACCTTAAGCCAGTTAAAATTAATTATGCTTAGTGAAGCTAGCCAATCCCTAAAAAACAAATACCAAATGTCTTCTTTGATATAATGAGAGCAACTAAGAACAGAGCAGGGAGGAAGAGCAGGAAGAAAAGATTAACATTAAACAGATACATGAGGTGGGATGGAAAGGGAGAGAAAAGGGAAATTGCATGGTAATGGAGGGAGACCCTCATTGTTATACAAAATTACATATAAGAGGTTGTGAGGGGAATGGGAAAATAAACAAGGAGAGATATGAATTACAGTGGATGGGGTAGAGAGAGAAGATGGGAGGGGAGGGAGGGGGGATGGTAGAGGATAGGAAAGGTAGCAGAATACAACAGTTACTAATAGGGCATTATGTAAAAATGTGGATGTGTAACCGATGTGATTCTGCAATCTGTATTTGGGGTAAAATTGGGAGTTCATAACCAACTTGAATCTAATGTATGAAATATGATATGTGAAGAGCTTTATAATGTTTTGAACAACCAATAAAAAAAAATTAAAAAAAAAAAATTAATTATCCTACCTATGCCAGATAAAATTAATTTAATTTCTCACAAAGAAACTGTTTATTTGGCACAATTGGGGTGGATATAACTGGTATATTTTTGACCCTTGTGAGCCTATCATAATTAATATGTTGTTGTTTGGCTATATTTACTATAGAGGAAAAATAAAGAATGTTTGGATTAAAAAATTTTAAAAAAAACTTTGATGTATCCTTTTCTCCAGGGAATTGTTTGAGTTATTAATGTTTTCTATCTCATCTTTATATCTCAGTGAGTCACTACTTATTAGCCTGACCTGTACATATGAAAAATGCTGCTTTCATTATTTATTATTATATTTGTCTTATCTACTTTTTTACCAAACAACATGTAATTCATTTTAAGGGAAAGCCATTTTAAGCCAGTTTTTAGTTTTAATAGTTGTAAAGGAAATATATATGAAGGTGTTTTCAAACTGATGTAAAAATGTTGCAGTTTTTTTTTTTTTCCTGTGATGTAGGGGCAGTGTGAGTTTTCAACTATTGCAATCTCTCTCATTACTTATTTCACATGTGTTAGCAAGATATAATCCACAAAGAACACAAGAAAAATGTATGACATAATTTTATAAAAGATGCACAATATGTTCTTAGATATAAGAAATTTCATGTAAATTCAGATAGCATCTACTATCATTTGTTTATCGAATTATCTAACAAATAACTGGTGGGAAGGGAGGGATGGGAAAGACTGATCAATGGCTATAAAATTGCAGTTAGGAATAAAAAGTTCTAGTATGCTTTTGCAGAGTAGGATGACCTTGATTAATATGAATTGTCGACTTGATTGAATTAGGAGATGCCTAAGATTAGGAGGCTTCTGGGTGTCTCAGGATGTTTCTAGGCATGATTAGTATGTGGGGCAGCAAACCGAGGCAGAGACCCATCTTAAATATTACCAGCATCATCCAGTAGGTTGGGAGCCTGTGTGGAAGACAAGGAGAAAGAACAAGGAAGCAGCAGCAGCTGAGAGCTTGATTCTTAAGCAAGTTCTTTTTTTTTTTTAACTTTCAAAATAAAATTTTTTTCCAAAATATTTTGTGTGTGTGTGTGTGTGTGTGTGTGTGAGAGAGAGAGAGAGAGAGAGAGAGTCAGACCTAGGAATATATAAAGAATATATGGAGTACCTATATTTAATGTGAAACAATTTTATATCTTTTTGTAATCTCTGCCACATCCTCTTCTGCTGCCTTGCTCTGGTCTGTGTCTTCATAATACATTACTTGGGTTGTTGGAAATAGTGCTGTAATTGATATCTTTCCCCTCCAGGGTTTCTCACATTCAAGTCAGACTACCTGAGACTATAGGATTAAATTTCCTGAAATTCAGCTCTGATCTCATAGCTTTCTAATTCAGATATTTTTGATAGGTAACAGATGTGAGCTATGGGAACATGAGTTTAAGGAGATAATTCTATAAACTGGGCCCACCATGCTAACCCCCACATGCTTCCTTTTTAAAAAAAAAAATATTTATTTTTTTATTTATATATGACAGAGGAATGCATTACAATTCTTATTACACATATAGAGCACAAGTTTTCATATCTCTGGTTATATACAAAGTATATTCACACCAATTCATATCTTTATACACCTAACCCTAACCCCAAATAATACGCTACTGAATGAACAATGGGTTGCAGAAGACATCGACGAGGAGATTAAAAAATTTTTAGAGATGAATGAGAGTGCAGATATAACATATTGAAATCAGTGGGACACTATGAAAGTAGTTCTAAAAGGATAGTTCATTGCATGGAGTTCATTCCTTAAAAGAAGGAAAAGTCAACAAATAAATGACTTAACATTACATCTCAAAGCCCTAGAAAAAGAACAAATCAACACCAAAAGTAGCAGAAGACAGGAAATAATTAAATTGAGAGCTGAAATCAATGAAATTGAAACAAAAGAATTGAAAAAATTGACAGAACAAAAAGTTAGTTCTTTGAAAAAAATAAAAAATAAAATTGACAGACCCTTAGCCACACTAACAAAGAAAAGGAGAGAGAAAACTCAAATTACTAACATATGGGATGAAAAAGGAAATATCACAACAGACACTACAGAAATACAGAAGATAAATAGGAATTATTTTGAAAACTTGTATTCCAATAAAATAGAAAATATCGAAAGCATTGACAAATTTCTAGAGTCATATATTTGCCCAAATTGAATCAGGATGATATATACGATTTTAACAGATCAATTTCAAGTGACAAAATAGAAGATGCCATCAAAAGTCTACAAACTAAGAAAAGCCCAGGACTGGATGATTCACAGCCAAGTTCTACAAGACTTTTAAAGAAGAACTAATACAAATACTCTTTAATTTATTTCAGGAAATAGAAAAGGCGGGAGCACTTTGATCGAGTTCTTGATTGCTGCAGTCCTGAGGATGCCAGACTCCTGCTCCTGCACTCTTCCAAAGAAGACTCTGATCAGTGATTCTTCAGGGAATTTTTAGTCCTTTGGCCCTAGTGTTGGGTGGCATCATTGATCTCTCTTCTTCTGAGTCTCCAGATTCTTGCATTGAACAGCTACATTTCCTCCAGCCTCCAGCCTGCATTTGGCCACTGTGGGACTCTCCAGCTTCTGATTGTCTAAGCCTGTCTAACAATCCCCTTTTCATAATCCCCTTTTCATAATTACGTGTGTGTGTGTGTTAGAGTCTGTAAACAAGTCAAGATGGCGGCCTGGCATTTTGGGAAAGGGAGTGGTTTGTGAAGTAATGCCAGGGAGCCATTAAGTGTGGAGATTCCTTATTGGTTGACTGCTGTATCTAGTTTATGTTAATTAGATAAGCTGTGTGGAATGTATATATACCCCTCCTGTCCTACAATAAAAGGCTTGTACTCCTGCTGTATCAATCTACACAAGTTGCTCGTCACCCCCTGGTTATTTTGCTGCAGCCGGACTGCGGCATGTGTGTATCACCTTTTGGTTCTGTTCCTCTAAAGAATCCTAATACAGTGATAAGGATAATGTACTGAAAATTGCAGAAAAGGAGAGGAAAGGATTTTGAATGTTTTTTACCACAAAGAAATGATAAATGTTTGATGACAAATATGTTTAACCTGGTTGAAATATTACACAACATGTACTCTTTTAGTCAGCTTTTTTTCCTGCTATGACCAAAGAAACAAGAAAGATTTTAGAGGAGGAAAAGTTTATTTTGGGCCCTCCATTTCAGAGATCTGAGTTTGTAGATGGCCAACTCCATTGTTCTGTGCTCAAGATGAAACAGAACATTATGGCAGAAGGGTGTGGATGAGCAAAGCACTTCAGGACATGAGCACCAGGAAACAGAAGGCTCCTTCTGCACAGTGAGGACAAATAAAAACCCCAAAGACACGCCCCCAGCTACCTGCCTCCTCCAACCACACCCTACCTGCCTTTCGTTAACACTTAGTTGATCTATTTCAGTGATTTAATCCAATGATCAACTCACAGCTCTTATAATCTAATCAGTTCACCTCTGAAGGTTCTTGCATTGTCTAGCACATGACAATGGGTGGTACCTCTTATATAAACCTTAACTGTTTAAGTTTTTATTTAAACAAAGGACAACAAAGATAAAAAGTATTTTATCCTGGATCACTAAGAGTTTGGTTGTCAATAACAACATAGGAATACACTGGAAAGGCATGTAATATGATAAAATGCATTATTTGGAAGAATGGGGAATACTAGCCTGATGTTAGGACACTAGCACAGAACAGGCCCAACTAAAGGATGGGTTCTTCCTGGGAACCATCTGGAAGACATGAAGTCAGGATGTCCTTCTGTCTGCTGCTTTGATTGCTATAACTCAGCTGCAGGATATAAGTGGGGAGTTCCCTGTAGAACTGGGCGTACCAGCTCTGTTACTCCTCATTGCCTCTCCCCAAAATCAGTTCCAAATCAGTTTTCATGCATCATTTTAACAGCATCTGAATCATTTCTGGAGCTTGACCTATAAGAGATTCAAGGAAATGTGGATGTGCCATATCATAGAAGGGAAAATTAGAGGAAGCTGGATGGATGTGGAGATAGTCATCCATTTCAGGCCTACAGTGTAGATGGAATATCACGTTGTGATAGCTGTCTTCATGAAACTTACTGTCATGTGTAGGAGATGAAAACAAATTGGATATTATTAAGTTATAATATCAATTCCAGGAACTGGCAATTCAGATTGAGATCTAGAACAGAGTGATCCACAAGCTCCCACCCCATGTGGACTGGATGAGAGTAAGGGTCTTCCTTGCACTGGATGGAATCCAAGCTCCTGAAAGAAGACAGGGGTGTGGATGTGGTGGCATGAGCCTGGGAAGGAAAAGCTGCAGGTCTCAGTGGCTCCACAGGCTCAGTATTGCTCTTGATCCTAAATCATTAGGAAGCAAGGGAACAGCAACAACCAGACAGGGGTTTTGAAGCAGGATTTGGTTCCAAATCAGAGCTCCAGATAAAGCAGAACTGTATTTCCACCTCCTGTTTTGCTTGATTTTGTGCCTCTTGTTTTTATTTGTTTCATTGTTTTTATTTGGAAAGCCAAATTTCTTGAAAGCCACCAGTTTTCTTTTCTTTTATGAGATAGTTTTAAGTGTCTTGGGAGCAGGACAAGAGCAGTGGCATTGAGGAAGAGATACATGGAGGAAAATAGGGTTCCAGATCCCTGAGGTCTCTTTCTGTTGCAGACACTGGGCTGGTGGTAGCCATCCCCGAGAAATTCGATGATTGCAGGTGAGGGGAGGGGAGTAGCTGTGCTCAGCCAAAATTCACCTGCTGTGGGAATGGAGGGAAGGTACAGAAAGGGGTCAGAGGATTCCTAAATTAACCTCCTACCTTCTATTGGGAACAGATCTGGTGGTTATACTTAGCTGGTGTAGCTAAGGGAACTGTCATGTCATGACCTTTTTTAGTAGGCGGATCTTTAGATCTTGTTGTTCCTCTCTGTCCAAATTTATTTGCCTTAGGATTCAAATACTTTCCATCTTGTATTAAGGACTTTATTCATCAATTGAGATTTTTCTTGACATATGCTAATGAAAGAGCTAAGTTTCTTTAATTATCCAACTTGTGAAAACTTGTTATTTTTAATGTTTTAACATTCTCTGTAAAATACTGTTGACTTTTAATTTATCTAAGAATGGCAACATTTTGCTCTGTGTCTTTCTCTCTTTTTATTCTGTTAGTCAGCTATTTATTACTGGAACCAAAATACCTGACAAAAACAATTTAGAGAAGAAGTTTATTTCAGGGCTCACAGTTTTAGAAATTCAGTTCATAGTTGGCTGACTGAAATTGCTCCGGACACAAGATGAGGCAGAACATCATGGAAGAAGGGTGTGTGGAGGAGCAAGGCTAAGCTATGGCATCCAGAGAGCAGGGACTGAGAGAGAGGAAGGGATCAAGGAAAGATATAAACACCAAATGTGTACCCCCAGTGATCTACTTCCTTCAGCTATGCCCCACCTGCCTACAGTTACACCCAGTAATCCTTTCTGTTATTAATCCAGCAAATGAATTATCCCACTGATTCAGCTACAGGTCTCATAATTTAGTAATTTCACCTCTGAATGCTGTCACATAATCTTCTCCAGGAACAGCTTATTTTCAAACCATAACAGATTCCAAATGTTTTTTTCACTGTAATCACCATTCTTCACATCACAGTAGCAATACAACCTGAAAATAAACTGCTTTTACATAAAAACTGGACAAGGTGACATTTACTATCTATGAATATACTCAACCATTTTATTTGTCATATGCACACTCTGGTAATTTTTATACATGTGTGTGTGTGTACCTAGTATTTTTTCTTTTAGTACACAGAGGCACATACCTCTAAGGCAAATATGTCACTGTGGTAGACCAAATATTGACCCATCTAGCATGATAAAAAGCAATTAGAAAATGCCAAGTTTATTTATTAGAACAATGATCTTGTCACTAGAGATCAGAAGATTCTAAACTTACACAGAAACATCTACTTTATTTCTGAATAAAGTATCTACTTTATTTATGAAGGTAAAAGTTATAAAATTAATGACTTCTTGAGCACCAACACTGTACCCCTGAGCCTTTCAAGTATCTGAGTCAATATATTTTATTCTTCATTTAGGAAAATTTGAATTTGTTTGTAATTCAATGCTATCAAAATGGTTCCAGAATTTACAGCAAGTATATTTTTTGAAATATGTAGGTTTTAAAGAAATTATGGGCTGTAAACTAAAAAGTAATCTCACTCTATTGTTTCAAAAGAAAATAGGAAATTGAAAACTAATTTTGCTAATCATTAAGTAGAATAAGGAAGAGGTATTTAACTTTTTAAAAATATTATATCCCTGTTTATTTTGAGATCATGGTCATTTTTACAACATAATCTGATCTTTTGAACACAACTATAAATGAGCTCATGTTTAGCCTATTTTGGAGCCATTCTAACATGGAGTAAGGTGGGTGGCAGAGTTTTATCTTAAGTAAGGCAGGGCTCTTGACAAATAACACAATACAACATTACATCAAAACATGAAACAAACAAAGGCTTTTTTTGTGGAAAAGTGTGGTAAAATGCTTCCATGTTTTATAATGTCACCTTTAAATAGATCAGGCTGTCCTTATTACCTTCCAAAAATACATTTAAATTCCTAATATAGGGTGAAGAGTAACACAAAATTGTATATATAAAATACTGACAACAGGTTACTTTGTCCAGCTATAAAACATCAAATAACATGAATAAGTATCAACCAAATTTGTTATTTCTATACAAATCTGAGACAATTACTACTGATAATTTTAGTTTGGAGAACATCAACTTGGCAAAGTCCTCTCCTAAGCTTTACATTTAACTAATGTTAACTTTTAAAGTACAATTTTGAATCCATAGTATACAGTAACTATAATCACAGGTCTGCATGGATTAGGAAAAAATAAAAGATAGCCTTAAAACTCAAAAATTTAAGAAATTGTTAATCATCAGAAATTGATTTAATCAAAGCAAACAGATGTAAAACAGGTCTTCAAATGATAGTGTGGCCCATCTATGTCAGATACAATGTACAAAAGTGTTCATTAGTTATCTTGCCAGTAAAATTACATAAACTTTCACTTTATAAACTTTTACATAATACTTACAAAAGCCTTAGACAGATAATAATTCTCAGATGCATATATATACCTAATCACATATATTTAGGTTGTCATTTATATTATTATAATCTAAATAACATTTGTTTGCTTATCCAGTTACAAAGTAATCATTTAAGACTTTTTTAAAACAGGTACAAATCCTAATGCCTTTAAGACTTAGTTTCCCCAAGTAATAAAATCTAACAAATACAGGAAAATTATCCTGATGGGTAAGAGGAGATCTATGTTTCAGACTTTGCTTCATATTAGTTCTTTAAAGTTCAAATAACTTTAATTGACTGTGCTAATTATAGCCAATTTAATCACAATCACAAACTTTTTGAGATTTACCTTCCACAAACTGTCTGCGACTTACTTCCTTAAACATTCACAACTTCTTTACATCCTTAGTTTAGTTTTCTTTTATATTGGACTTTAGCACAAGAATATTACTTTGCCAGACAAAAATAGTTTCTTATCCAGAGACATTTCTTTTACCTTCTAATTTTACATTCTAAAGTATTTCCATACCTATAATTCTTTTTTCTTTTTTAGTTTCACACTCTTTCTTAAATTCATATTCTAAAGTAATCCTTATTAATTTTATCTGCAAATGTAATTTACAAAACAAATTTCATCCCAAGGAGAGGTTTGGAAAATCTGCCATATACAAAAATGGTCTTAATCTTTTCTCTCTCAGGTGGCAGTCAAGGGGTTGGAGTACAGGATATTTTTTAGCCTGACC